AACCAGGAAGACACGTAAGATGGTCCCTCTGCACAGGACCCGGCACCACCAAATACTTTTGTTGACTGAGTTCATGGTTCCTGGTACTTCTGGTCTGACATCCCAGAGTCATGGACTGCATGAAAAGCTCTTTGTGGCTTCTACATCCTTTCTGCAAGCAAGTATCAACTGAGCAGGTTCCCCTAACAGACCCCTTAAAAAACCTGGATCTTGGTCTTGGTCCAGGAGACCTCTAGACCCAAGGGCAATCGCCTCTTAGCGTGATGCACCAAGAGCCACCACCAGTGATTAATGAGACTCAGATAGGATAGCAGCATCGTCAGGGAAGTCAAGGTCGGTGATATCGTCTATCGTTGCTCCAAAAGGCCTTACTTCACTCCTGAATTAAAAGGGGAGAAACTTGATAGGTCCCTACCACACCTCACAGAACTTTCAATACCAGTATATAGGCTTGCTATTAGTCCCATAATCCTTGGTCAGTCTCAGGATCTTCCAGAAGGATTCGCCATGCGCCGAATCAAACGTTTTCTCGAGGTCTTAAGCCCACGACCAATCCAGGACACGGCCAACTAGCAAAACACTAACAGACCAACAAAATCACCCAAGTAGATAAACAAAAACAAAAAAAACACACAAAACGAAAAAAAAATAATAATTACAAACAAAAATCTAACAAACAAAGACCTTTAAAATAGACACAGCACTTAAGACATCTTCCCTCCCAAGGAAGAGTCCGACAAGGCAAGAAAGAGGCAAATCCTCCTTCTTTTTTTTTTTTTTTTTTTTTTTTTTTTTTTTTTTTTTTTTTTTTTTTTTTTTGTCTTTCTCGAGGGAAAAAGAAGCCGATTTATAAGCCTTTTAATCAGCAATTACGAAGATTTGCCGCTTTACCGAGAGATTAATTCCGATTGCGTTCTTGATTTAGTTTTTTTCTTATCTTTTTTTTCCTTTTTGGGGTTTGTTTTGTATTGCTTTCAAGCGTGTTTTATTCTTTTTTAGTCTTGGTTTGTTGTTTGTTTTGTTTTTGCATCTTTAATTGCGTGTTTTTAGGGTTTATTTTATTTTGTCTTTATTTTCACTTTTTTCTTTTCTTTTCTTTACTTTTCTTTTTTTTCTTTTTTGTGGGTTGGGGACGTATTCGTTTTTTTCTTTTCTTTTTTTTTTTTCGTGCTCTTTTTTTCATCTTTCTTTCATTTTGTTCATTTTCTCTGTTTTTATTCGTATTTTTCTTGGACTTTTTTTTGTTTTTATACGGGTCTTTACCGACAATTGACAGATAAACACACACACACAACACGCACACACACATTTAATTAGACAGATATGTAGACAAACATACACGCACAGACATACGATAGGCTAAAACACACACGCAAAAATAAACAACAACCAAGCCAAAATACAAACAGTCAGACAAACACACAGTGTCTACATAAACAACAGACACAGAGACAACCAAACGACAAACACACAGACAGACAAATCCAAGAACAGACAAGCAGACAGACAGCCAGAAGAAAACAAGACAGACAATTAAACACAAATAGCCGATGATATAAATAGATAATAAGGAAAATAAATAAAAAAATGAAAATAAAAAAAACATAATATAAATTAAAACAAGAAGCTACAACCACCAGACAAACACAATCCCAACAACCAAAAACAAAACATACAGACCTACGACAAAAAAAAAAAAAAATGAATAATCAAAAGATCAAACTAACAAAACACAGACCTACAAACAACCCCATAATAACCCAAAACAACCAGAGAGACCTACAACCAAAGGCCTACAACCAGTTACAACCAAACAGAGAAACCTACAACCAACCCAAAACCCACAACAGATAACCAGAGAGAGACCTAAGACCTGAAGACCTAAAACCAGAGACCCACAACCACCGGCCTACATAGAGACTTACAACTAGAGACCTAAAACTAGAGACCTACAAACCTGAGACCCTACAGACTACAACTAGAGACCTACAGACCTACAACAACTAGAGACCTACAGACCTACAAACCTAGAGACCTACAGAACCTACAACCTGAGACTACAGACCTACAACCTAGAGACCTACAGACCTACAACCTAGACCTACAGAGACCTACCTACAACTACACTAGAGACCTACAGACCTACAGACCTACAACTAGAGACTACAGACCTACAACTACACCTAGACCCTACAGACCTACAACTAGAGACCTACAGAGACCTACAGAGACCTAGACCTACAACTAGAGACCTACAGACCTACAGACACAACTAGAGACCTACAACCTACAACTAGAGACCTACAGACCTACAGACCTACACTAGAGACTACAGACCTACAGACCTACAACTATAGACCTACAGACTACAACTAGAGACCTACAGACCTACAACTAGAGACCTACAGACCTACAACTAGAAGACTACAGAACTACAACTAAGACCCTACAGACTACAACTAGAGACCTACAACCTAACTACTAGAGACTTACAGACCTACAACTATAGACCTACAGACCTACAACCTAGAGACCTACAGACCTACAACTTAGAGACCTACAGACCTACAGAGACCTACAGACCTAGAGACCTACAGACCTACAACTAGAGACCTACAGACCTACAACTAGAGACCTACAGACCTGAGACCCTACAACTAGAGACCCTACCTAGACTACTACAGACCTACAAGACCTACAACTAGAGACCTACAGACCTACAACTAGAGACCTACAGACCTTAAGAGACCTACAGACCTACAACTAGAGACCTACGACTCCTAGAGACAGACCTACAGAGACCTACAGACCTACAACCACCCTAAACCTAAACCCCTAGAGACCACAGACCTACAACTCGCCCCTCCCCCAACCAGACCAAACCCAAACAACCTAATCACAACCAATTCAAAGACTAACATCCCCTCCCCCCCCCTTCCACCACCCCCCCCCCTCACCCCGTCGCGAAGTGTTGAAAACTGTTCCAAAAGAAGTGTTTGTGGGCGAGTCGTCAGCGGATTAGTGTCGTGACAGAGGTCTTAGCGGGAGTTAGGTCTCTCTCGGTGGACGAGGCGGAAGGCAGGTCATCGGCGGCGGGGCGGTCGGGTCAAACTAGGTCGGTTGGGGTTTTGTTTATTTTTTTGTAGTCTGTGGTGTTATTTTTTATTTTTTATTTTTTTTTTTTTTGTGTTGTTTTTTTTGGTTTGGTTTGGTTGTGTTTTGTTTTTAGGTTTGTCTTGTTTGGTTGTATGTTTTGATGAGGCGGAAGGCAGGTCATCGGCGGCGGGGCGGGTCGGGTCAAGCTAGGTCGGTCGGGGATTGTTGCTTTTTTTTTTCATTTTATTTATTTATTTTATTTTCATTTTTTATCTTTATTCATTTTTTTTTTTTTTTTTTTTTTTTTTTTTGGTTTGGTTTGGTGTGTTTGTTTTTAGGTTTGTCTTGTTTGGTTGTATGTTTGATGAAGGCGGAAGGCAGGTCATCGGCGGCGGGCGGTCGGTCAAGCTAGGTCGGTCGGGGATTGGTTGCTTATTTTTTTCATTTTATTTATTTATTTTATTTTCATTTTTTATCTTTATTCATTTTTTTTTTTTTTTTTTTTTTTTTTTTGGTTTGGTTTGGTTGTGTTTGTTTTTAGGTTTGTCTTGTTTGGTTGTATGTTTGATGAGGCGGAAAGGCAGGTCATCGGCGGCGGGGCGGTCGGGTCAAGCTAGGTCGGTCGGGATTGTTGCTTATTTTTTTCATTTTATTTATTTATTTTATTTTCATTTTTATCTTTATTCATTTTTTTTTTTTTTTTTTTTTTGGTTTGGTTGGTTGTGTTTGTTTTAGTTTGTCTTGTTTGGTTGTATGTTTGATGAGGCGGAAGGCAGGTCATCGGCGGCGGGGCGGTCGGTCAAGCTAGGTCGGTCGGGGATTGTTGCTTATTTTTTTTCATTTATTTATTTATTTTATTTTCATTTTTTATCTTTATTCATTTTTTTTTTTTTTTTTTTTTGGTTTGGTTTGGTTGTGTTTGTTTTTAGGTTTGTCCTTTGTTTGGTTGTATTTTGATGAGGCGGAAGGCAGGTCGGCGGTCGGGTCAAGCTAGTCGGTTGGGGTTTTTTTTGTTTATATTTTTGTTGTTTTGGTGGTGTTTTTTTTTTTTTTTTTTTTTTTTTTTGGGTTTGGTTTGGTTGTGTTTGTTTGGATTTAGTTGTATGTTTGATGAGCGGAAGGCAGGTCATCGGCGGGGCGATCGGGTCAAGCTAGGTCGGTCGTTTTTTTTTTTTTTTTTTTTTTTTTTTTTTTTTTTTGTGTGTTTTTTTGGTTTGGTTTGGTTGTGGCTTGTTTGTTTTTAGGTTGTCTCGTTTGATTGTATGTTTTGATGAGGCGGAAGGCAGGTCAAGGCGGTCGGGTCAAGCTAGGTCGGTCGGGGATTGTTGTTTATTTTTGTTGTGTTGTTGTTTGTTTGGTGTTGTTTTTTGTTGTTTGTTTTTGTTTTGGATGTGTTTTGTTTGTTTTATTCGTCTTGCTTGGCTGGTTTGGTTGTATGTTTGATGACTTTTTTGTTTGTTGTGTTTTATTTAGTTTTTATAGTATGTTTTTTTATGGTNCGAAACACCACATAGTATTTTTTCAACATTAACAAATTAAACATAAAGCTATTTTTAAGTTTATCTTAAAAGCACAACCTAAGCAAAATCATAAAACAGTAAAGTTAAATAAAAAAATAACCTTTTCACAAGAAACAATTCATTAGTGAACAAACAATTATGCACGACTTATCCCTCTTAATAATAATGATTAATCAGTGAACGATAAATAATGCACATGATTTTTTTTCCTCTGAATAACACCTTTAACAATTTAATTATTCAACCAAAAATCAATGATTCCCCACGATTTTCCTCTCACCTCCTCACATCCATACACACGAAAACCACAAAACAAAAACAAAACAAAAAAAAAAACAAGTACAAGACATAGACCGCTAATTAAGGAAAAGGAAATAAACAAGAATTTCTACCAGGAAGGAATGGGCTCTCTGCACGTGGTCACCGGCGGCGTTGAGATGGCGGGAGCGTCGGATCTGTCGGCCAAGGTACGTGTTGTATTATTATTATGGTATTATACTATTATTACATACATTATTATTATTGTTGTTGTTGTTGTTGTTATTATATTATTATTATATAATTATTATTATTATATTATTATTATTTATTATTATTTTTATTTATTATTATTTTATTATTATTATTATTATTATTATTATATTATTATTATTATGTTATTGTTATTGTTATTGTTTATGTATTGTATATATATATTGTTATTGTTATTATATATTATTATATATTATTATTATTATTATATTATTATTATATTATTATTATTATATATATTATTATTATTACTATTATATTATATATTATATTATTATTATTATTACTATTATTATTGTCATTATTTAACATTGTTATATTATTATTATTATTATTATATTATATTATTATATTATTATTATTATTATTATATTATTATTAATTATTATCTATTATTTATTATATATTATTATTATATTATTATAATTATATTATTACTATTATATTATTGTCATTATTGTTAACATTGTTATTATTATTACTATTATATTATTGTTATTATCATTATTAATTATTGTTGTGTTATTATATTATTCATATATTGTTATTATTATTATATTATTATTATTATATTATTATATTATATCATTATTATTATTATATTATTATATTATTACATTATTATTATTATATTATTTAAATATATTATTATATATTATTATTATATATTATTATATATTACATTCATATCATCAATCATCATATATTATTATATTATTATTATTATATATAATTATTATTATTATTATTACTATTATTATTATTGTATATTAATCATTATTATCATTATTATTAGTGTTATTATTGCTATTATCATTATAATCATTGCTATTTTTATGTTATTATTACTATTATTATTATTATTATTATTATTATTATTATTATTATTATTATTATTATCAAGATCATTATTAGCAAGATCATTATTATCATTATCATATCATTATCATCATCATCTTTATTATTATTATTAATTAATTATTATATCAAATTAAATTATTACTACTACTACTATTATTATCATTACATTAGTATTATTATTTCCATTATGATTATTAATTGTTGTTATCATCACTATTGTTATAACTATTATTATTATATTATTATTATTATATTATTATATTATTATCATTATTGTTATTATTATTATTACCATTATTATCATTTGTATTATTATTAGTAGTAGCAGTAGTATTCGTAGTAGTACTAGTAATGGTAGTAGTGTTATTGTATTATCTTTATTATTATCATTATAATTTTTTGTTGTTGTTATCATCTTATTATTATATCAGTAGCAGTATAGTAGTAGTAGTATTGTATTATTATTACTATCATCACCATTAACATTTTTGGTGTTGTTGTTATTGTATCACTAAGATTATTATTGTTATTGTATTATCATTATCATTGCTGTTACTATCATTATTGTTATCACTGTTATTATTATTATTATCATTATTATTAATAATATTATCATCATTATTATCATTATCATTATCATTACTGTTATCCTTATTATTAATGTTGTTATAATCGTTACAAATATTGGTACATATCACTATTAACGTTATCATGATCTTAGCTATCATTATCATTATCAACACTATTATTATTATCATTATCGTTATTGTTATCATTGTTATCAATATTATTATTGTTATTATTATCATCATTACTATTGTCATTACTTTATTTTTATTTTTTATTATTATCATCATCATCGTTATTCTCATTATTGATATTATCATTATCATGATTATTATCATTATTACTACTACTATTAATTATAAAATCATTGTTATTATTATTATCCTCATCATTCTTACTGTTATTTTCATCACCATCATATTATTATCTTCATTATTATTACAATGATTTTCCCTTGTCATATCACAGTGTAAGCAGAGTCAGGTAATGCTATATATTTTTAGACAAGAATTTCATCAAAATTATTCTTTATCATTATGATTAATGTTATCATTCATGCTTAGATAATTACATGTATATATTGAAATGGTTTTCTATATTTGTATATTTTTTTACAATCTGTATTATGATACATATCTTTTATATCATAATATATGTGATATGCATTATGATAAATGCAAACACACACACACACACACACACACACACACACACACACACACACACACACAACCACACACACACACACACACACACACCACACACACACACACACACACACACACAACACACACACACACACACACACACACACACACCACACAACACACACACACACACACACGCACCACGCACACACATACGTGCATGTGGCGTGTTTTATGTATGTAAGTGTGTGTGGTGTGGTGCGTGTAAATACAGCACATTTGGAGCACACAAATACACCACACACTTACCTATGGTCTATCTATAGGTAGCTAGCTAGATAATGATATAAGGCTTATAAAGGTAGATAAAGATAGACATATAGATAGATTAGATCGGTAGATAGGCAGACAGATACTATATAATATGTAGCTAAGTAGATATAGCACAGGTATACAGATAAACAGATAGATAGACAGATAGATACACTCTCAGGTATCATAATCTACATCATCATTCAGATCTGTAACAAATAGCGCATCTACCATATTCAAACTCTAAAATCATTCTTATCAAACATTATATTAACATCACGATCTCCCCTCCTCTCCCCCTTCTCCCCCCTCCCCCCCCTCCCCCTTCCAGCTGACTGCCGGCCGCATCGTCAGCCGCACTAAAGAAGATTTGAGTATCAGCGGCTACTATAATCTGACCGTCTACACCGCCACGGAAAACGTCTCAGATTCGACCTTCCTGACGCTCGGTGGGTTGAGGGCTTGGGGGTGGGGGGTGGGGGTGGAGGGGGTTGTCGAGTGGGTTCTGGATGCGTTGAGGATGTGTGTGTATATAATATATAATACATATATAATATTATAATTATATATATTATATATAATATATATTATATTATGTATATATATATATATATATAACATATATATATATATATATATAGATAGTATATATATATTATATGTATATAGATAAATATATATATATATATATATATATATATATAATATATATATATATATAATATATATATGTAATATATATATATATATAATATATATATATTATATATATATAATATATATATATTATATATATATATATATACTATATATATATAATATATATATAATATATATAATATATATCACATATACACTAATATGACATTCGATGTTTTTCGCTGGACAGCATGTTTCGATGACATTCTGTTGACAATTTCACCTATCCTACTTCTAGCTTAACTAATCGAAATAAAGAAAATATAAAAAAGAAAACACGAAACACAACAGAAAATAAAAAACTTTTGATTCCTCTCAGCTGCTCATTTTTTTTCTCTCGATGCCCCTTATTCCTGCAGGAGTCGACGACGTGGTGGCAGGAGCTAAGACGCTGACGTTCAGGACAACGAAGGACACACGCTCTTCGAGACAGGTCCTGAGGGCACCGCTGTAGGAGCCGAGACGCTGACCGTTACAGGTGCTGGGATGAGAGAGGGAGAGAGGGGAGAGGGAGTGGGAGGGGAGTGGGAGGAGAAGAGGGGAGGGGGAGAGGGAGGGAGAGAAGGGAGGGAGGAAGAAAGGGAGGGAAAGAGGGGAGGGGAGGGAGAGAGAGAGAGAGAGAAGAGAGAGAGAGAGAGAGAGAGAGAGAGAGAGAGAGAGAGAGAGAGAGAAAGTGGGGGAGGGAGGAGGGGGGAGGGAGGAGAAGAGAGAAGAGAAGAGAGTGGAGGAGATAGATAACAGAGAGAGGAGAATTTGCCAAATTTTCCGAATCTTTTCTAACAAACAAAGAAACCTAACCTAACGTAACAACAACAAAAATATACAGGCAAAACTACACAAAACTTTTTTTATACAAACAAACAAGCGAAAAAACATGCAATCAATAAAAAAAAAAAACATGCAAACAACTAAAAAAGAAAGATTTCTAAAAATACAAACAAACAACTGAAACAAAATATTACAAACAAGAAAAAAAATAAATACATAGACAAGCAAAAATTTTTTAAAAATAAACAAGCAATTCAAAAGAAATACAACCAAACCAACAAAAAAAATACACATACAGACAACGAACAAATATGAAAGATAAATGAATAGATAAATAAATGAAATAAAACAAAAACTTTTGTTCCAGGCAGTGACGGAGCCACGTTCAGCGGCTCCGTGGAAACCCCGCTTCTCTTCGCCGAGGACATTCATGAACTACGGTTAGTACAAGAGGCAGTTCTGGAATCCCGCTTCACTTGGAATCCCGCTTCACTAGGAATCCCGCTTCACTTGGAATCCCGCTTCACTTGGAATCCCGCTTCACTCGGAATCCCGCTTCATTTGGAATCCTGCTCTCTTGGAATCCCGCTTCATTTGGAATCCTGCTCTCTTGGAATCCCGCTTCACTTGGAATCCCGCTTCACTTGGAATCCCGCTTCATTTGGAATCCTGCTCTCTTGGAATCCCGCTTCACTTGGAATCCTGCTCTCTTGGAATCCCGCTTCACTAGGAATCCCGCTTCACTAGGAATCCCGCTTCACTTGGAAGCCTGCTCTCTTGAATCCCGCTTCACTTGGAAGCCTGCTCTCTTGGAATCCCGCTTCACTTGGAATCCCGCTTCACTTGGAATCCCGCTTCACTTGGAATCCCGCTTCACTTGGAATCCCACTTCACTTGGAATCCCGCTTCATTTGGAATCCTGCTCTCTTGAAATCCCGCTTCACTTGGAATCCCGCTTCACTTGGAATCCCGCTTCACTAGGAATCCCGCTTCACTTGG